GCAAGCCCGCCCCGCGCCTGCCGAGCAGCGCGCAGCACCACGCCTGCCCGGCGCGCCGCGCAGCACGAGCGGCACCGCCGGGATCAGCTCCGCCGCCCCCGCGCGCAGCGCCCCTTCCTGCCTGGCCGCCGCGGAACCCGTGCACGAACCGTGACGGACACCACACACGGCGGCCGCCCGACGCAGCCCTCCACCAGCCCGCGCCCTCCCGGGCGAAGATCCCTCCGAGCCACCTCGCAGCCTGGGGCCGCCCGCGGTCACAGCGAGGGCCGCCCGCGAGGCAGGAGGGGGGAGGAGGAGCATGGGGAAGAGGAGAGTGCGCTGGGAATGCACCTCGGGGCCGTCGCCGCCCCGCCGCGAGCGCCGCCACCCAGGAGGGCCTGTGGGCCAGCGCGGCGGGGGCAGCGGCTTCGCGCCCACCGGGGATGCGCCTGCGTGAGAGTCCCGTCCCCCCCTGGCCCCCCAGCCGCCCCGGAGGGCTTGGGCGGGGCCAGGCCAGGAATTTCCCGCCTGGAACCTATCCCTATCCCTGTGTTGGGCATCGCCTCGTCACGATGGCGATCTTGGGGACTCCCTCAGTTTCTGAGGGTGCCTCCCTACGATTGTCATCGCCTTTTGGCGTGTCAATCTCAGGGATAGGGATAAGTTCGAGGCTGGTTAAGGAAGGGCAGAGGAGGGAGGAAGGGGACGACGAGCTGGGCTCGCTGGCGGCGGAGGGCTTGGGCGGGGCCAGGCCAGGAAGGGCGGAGGAGGGAGGAGGAGGAGGAGGAGGAGGAGGAGGAGGAGGAGGAGGAGGAGGAAGAGCAGGAGGAGGAGGAGGAGGACGACGAGCCGGGCTCGCTGGCGGGGGTCGCGCCGCCCGTGCCCCCATCGCAGACTCCGCAGCCCCGCCGGCGATAGGCCGCGCTCGCCCTGCTCCGCGACGGGCGCCCAGGGGCGCGGAGGGTCTGCATATCGCCGGGGGCGCCTCGGCACGGCGCATGGGCCCCGGCAGGGGCGCGGCGGCAGGGGCGCGGCGGCAGGGGCGCAGGGCTCGTTTCGATGCCCCCGATCCGAGTCGATTCGATCTCGACGGAGTCCGATTCCGATTCGAATCTCCACTCGGGATTCCCATGTGGGCGCCGGTTTGTTATCTTGGAGGCATGCTATCCTGCCGATATTTCTGGAGATTCCACCTTTCCCGACTCGGCTGCCGAGTTCCGCCGAAGTCCGGTTGATTTCGGTGGCCGATCCGACCTATCGATTCGATGTTTGGGGCTCTCCTGGGGGCGCGGCGCGGCACAGCGGTGGCAGGGGGCGGGCACGGGCAGGGGCGCGGCGCGTCGGGGCCGCGGTGGGGACCCCGTCTTGGGCGCTCGAGGTTGCTCGCGCCCCGCGGCCAGCAAGCGGGGGAGTGCGCTGTCAGAAAAAGTCAGGAGGGGTAAAAACACACAGGCACAATGAATCGTCGACTCCCAGGAAAATATGGGAAAATATGGGAAGTGGGGGGGAAGACAAAAACCCAGAAAATATGGGAAAATATGAGGGGATTATCTTATTGTGTGTATTTATTTGTGTGTCCTTGGGCCGCTTCAGAGGTTGCTCGCGCCCCGCGGCCAGCAAGCGGGGGAGTGCGCTGTGAGAGAAAGCCGCGGTCGTTCCGCGAAGGGCCGGCAAGCTCTGGACGCTGCGCGCATCCCCACGGGCCCATCCAGGTACGCAGCCCAGGTGAGTTGAAGTCGACGACGACGACGACGACGACGACGACGACGACGACGACGACGACGACGACGACGACGACGACGACGACGAGTCGACCATGCGGAGGTTTTGCTCCCCGAGCCTCTGGGAAGCCTCTTTCATGCCATTCGAAGGCCTCCTGAAGCCGTCTTGGCGCCATTTCGGGAGCCTTGTTGGCCGTCTTGGGGTCCTGTTGGGGTCCTGTTGGGGTCCTGTTGGGATCTTTGAGGGGTTCCTGGCGCCCTCTCGGGGCCCTCTTGGGCCCCATCGTTCCAAAAGGAGCAGTGCTTTGATTAGCACCTCCCCCTCGGGAGCCGAGCAATGGGCTCTTGGGGCCCTCTTGGGGCGCTCGTCTTTGAGGCCTCTTGGGCCCCTCTTGGGGCTCTTTTGGGCCATCCTGGAGGCCTCGCGTCGAAAGGGTTGTGGCCTCTTGGACGATGTCTGGGAAGTCTCGGAGGGCAGTTGAAACTGGGAGCATCCTGGAGGTATGTCGGAAGGTACCTCTAGCCAGTTTGGTGTATCTTGGGCCGCCCTGGAGGCCATCCTGGTCGATCTTGAGCTCTCTTGGGGCCATCTTGGAGGCTCCAACGGGTCGCGCCCCGTCCTCGTCCAGGCCCAGAGGTAGGGGGCAGGGCAGGGGTAAAGTCATCGCCGAATAGGGGAAGGAGGCGCCCAGAGGACCGGCGGGATAAGTATTGCACAAACGTACGCTGCTGAGGCTCCTCGCAGATTTATTGAGTCGTCGCGCCCCGCGGGAAGAGAGGTCAGCGCCGACCCAAGAAATCCATGCGAGCATTCGAAAGCTTACAGTGGGGGCCCATGCCAAGAACCACCCTGCTTGCCTCCAGGTTGCCCTGGGTTTTCGGGTTGTTCGATGGCTTTGCAATGGAACGCGTGCCGTTCCCACACCGAAAACCAAGGGACGTCCTGGGGTCTGAGGGTTGGGTTTCTGGTGGAAGATTATTTTTGTGGACTGGCCTTCACTGTAGAAGCTAACGCCGAGTCCGTCACGACGCGGGCTTGCCGCGCGTCTCGCGATCAAGGGCGCCGACAAACGGGATTGACTCACAGGGGGGGTCTGATGCCAAGCAACACCCCGCTTGCCTCCCGGGTGCCCCGGGTTGCTTGGGTTGTTCGATGGCTTTGCGATGGAACGCGTGCCGTTCCCACACCAAAAACCAAGGGACGTCCTGGTGTCTCAGGGTTGGGTTTCCTGCGGATGGCTTCTTGTGGTCGGGCTCATACGTACAGTGCCGTTTTTTTTATACATGCCCCGCGTGCGGATCATGTGTTAAAACATGCAGGGACTCAGCATTAAGAACACCGATGAGTTCATGCATGAATTCATTCATAACTTATTCATTATTAAAATCGGGAGGGAAAGAAACACACAGACACAATTAATCCTCGAGTCCCAGGAGAATATGGGAAAATATGGGAATTGGGTGGGAAGACAAAAACCCCGAAAATATGGGAGAATATGGGGAATCATCTTATTTCTGTGTATTTATTTGTGTGTCCCAGGGCCCCTTCATAACAATCCGATGTGTTTGAAGATCCCCTGTATTAGCAACTGCCCTGTATCGTGCGGGGCAGGCGCCGACCCCCCGTCGCCCGCTCCTCGTCCATCGGGGCCCGGGTGTCCAACCCTTGCCCAGGATAGGAGGAGGAAGGAGGACGAGGAGGAGGAGGAGGAGGAGGAGGAAGAGGAAGAAGAAGAAGAGGAAACGCAGTGGCCGCGGAGGCCATCGCCCGACTGCCGCTGCTGTTCTGCTTCGAGCAGCGCGTTGGCGGCGGGACCCCGGACCGCGCAGCCCCGCACTCCTGCAGGGGTCCACATGCGAACCCTACCCCTACCCCCCACGATTTTTGAGGGGGAGGGTGGGCTTCACTTCGCTCGCCGGCTCCCGAACGAGGTGAACCCCACCCTCCCCCTCAGAAATCGTGGGGGGTAGGGGTAGGGTTCGCACGTGGACCCCTGCAGGAGTGCGGGGCTGCGCGGTCCGGGGTCCCGCCGCCAACGCGCTGCTCGGAGCAGAACAGCAGCGGCAGTCGGGCGATGGCCTCCGCGGCCAATGAGTTTTCTCTTCTTCCTTTTCCTCCTCCTCCTCTTCCTCTTCCTCCTCCTCCTTCCTCCTCCTTCTTCCTCTGCTTCCTCTTCCTCTTCTTCCTCTACCTCCTCCTTCTCCTATGAAGAGCGCAGCCTTTGGCGTCCCCGGCTCGCCAGCCAAACGACTGGTAAATGCAGCCTTTGGCGTCCCTGGCTCGCCAGCCGAACGACCAGTAAATGCAGCCTTCGGCGTCCCCGGCTCGCCAGCCGAACGACCAGTAAATGCAGCGTTTGGCGTTTCCAGCCTTCCAGCCGAAAGGCCGGTAAATGCAGAGTTTGACATCCGGAGAGGCGCGCAGAAAAAAGAAAAAGCAAAAAACAGCAGGAACATCAATTTTCGGAGCTCCGCGTGGAGCTCCGAAGGTTTGTGTTCGTGTCGGCGCTTCTTCTCTTAATCGCCGATGCAAGGTCACTCCATAGACGCGCCAACGGCGATGCAAGTCACGGCGATGCAGGTCTCGGTATGTATGGAACGCGCCTCTTGTGTTTTCTTACAATTCGTTTTGCTGTTCTCGCTCGATGCATCCGCAGGTCGGAAGTGTAAGAGAGTGTGGGTCGTGCTTTCCTACACTTCGGTTTCCAACATCACCGTGAATCAACATCGTCGTCAGCGTGGCCTTTGTCACTGCTCTTCAGTCGGGCCTGTCCCTCTACAGGAGGAATATTCGAAAATGGTAAAACATAGTCTGGGAGTGATGTGTTCGGCTATTTTTGTTATTTTGTTGTAATGTTTGACGGTTTTTCAGCTTTCGTCCAACATGTAATGTTTGACGAATGTTCAGTTTTCGTCCCACATTCGCCTGTAGAAGGGGACATGCCCGACCTAACACTGCACCAAGCCCTGACACGCCCCCCCCTTGCGCCCCCCCCCTTGCACCCGAGCATCTTCTGTGGGTGGAGGGCAAAGGGTGAAATCTGAAGTGCCGTCTCGATGGGCCTTCGAGGCCCGAGTCTGCACAAGGAGAATCACAAGACGCATGGGCTCTCGAGGTGCAGTAGCCCACACGGATTTCACCCTGAGCTCAAGTGCTCAAGACCCAGGGCCGCCGGACCCCGGTCCACGATGGAAAACCGGGCCTGGGGAAGGGAAGGAGGAGGGAGAGGAGGAGGAGGAGAAGGAGGAGGAGGAGGAGGAGGAGGAGGAGGAGGAGCCGTGCGCGCCGCGCCGCAGGACAACCAGAGCAACGGGGCCTCCCAGGAGGAGACGGTCAGCCCGAGCCACCCGATGGACCCGCGCTACCTGGACCGCTCCAGCTCGGGCGCCCAGGGTTGGAGGCGTGGAAAGTGGAATCAACACCAGCAGAGGGGGTTGCCTCCACACGGGGAAGATGATCCTAGATTTCGGTGTTGGCGGTAACATTTCGGTCACCTTGGAAGCCAGAATCTTCCCACCATCGCCGAGATCGGGATCGTCTTCCCTCGGTGGAGGCACACTGCCGATCCTGGTGTTGGTGTCAACCTCTAGGCCTGCGACAGGGCCTTCCAAAGAGGGCCCATCAGGGAACCCAGACCCCCGCGGGCAACGAACAAAATCACGACGGGAGGCTTTTCGCCATCTTCGGCCTCCGGGGGCCCTCGCCGGGCCTCGGGAGCGTCAGAAAACGACTCGGTATGAAAAACTGGTCCCAGGGAGTGGGTCGAGACCTCGGGGGTCGACGCTATGGAAAATCATGACTTCGGAGGTCTGGGAAGGAAGGAGACCTGATCTCCGACGATGCGTTTTCCCACCATCCTGTGGTTTTGGGTCGGTATCGTTGATCCGACCCTTAGTGGGCCCCGGAAGCGGCAGGGCTGTTGTTTCACCGTTTCGGAAAAAATTCCCCTTGAAAATGGAAACGGCAAAAAAAACAGCGACCGGAAACGGCAACAAAAACGGTTCCAGGATTGGAACCGCAGCGGGACCCCGTAAAAGAACGGCGACGGAACCGGTAAAAAAACGGCGTCGGAACCGGCAACAAAACGGCAAAACGGAACCGGTAAAAAAACGGCCCTGTCGTTTCCAGGGCCCACTAAGATCTCACCGCCATCCCCATCCTCACCCCCCTCGGGAACCCCGTCAAATTACCACACCCAGTTGGAGATGCGGCCCTCGAAGCCACGGGGCCTGCTCCCGCCAGCAGCCGCACCCGAGCAAGCTGGACCGCGCCAGCTCGGGCGCCCAGGGTCGGCATCGTTTACCGAGCATTTTCTTCGGGTGGAGGGCAAAGGGTGGAATTTGAAATGCCGTTTCGATGGATTTTCGAGGCTTGACTATTTCCCAACCATCCTGTGGTGTTGGGTCCTCGTTTTGAAGAGAAGGGCCCCGCGTTCTCCTCTCCTCCTCTGCCCCCTCCTCTCCACCGTCCGCATGCGTCCCGCACACTCAGTACAGCGTTTCGTGGCCCTCCTCCCCTTCCCACCCGGTACAGCGTTTCGTGTCCCCATAGGGAGCTCCACCGAAGGTCCCATTGCTACCGTCCGCATGCGTCCCGCACCCAGTACAGCGCTTCGTGGCCCCATAGGGAGCTCCACCGAAGGTCCCAGTGCTACCGTCCGCATGCGTCCCGCACACCCAGTACAGCGTTTCGTTGCCCTCCTCCCCCTCCTCTCTTCGTTTCACCCACCCAGTCCAGCGCTTCGTGGCCCCATAGGGAGCCCCACCGAAGGCGCCAGTGCTACCATCAGCATGCGTCCCGCACACCCAGTACAGCGTTTCGTGGCCCCATAGGGAAGTCCACCGAAGGTCCCAGTGCTACCGTCCGCATGCGTCCCGCACACCCAGTACAGCGTTTCGTGGCCCTCCTCCCCTCCCTCCCTGCGTTTCACCCACCCAGTACAACGTTTCGCGGCCGCATAGGGGGCCCCACCGAAGGTCCCAGTGCTACCGTCCGCGCTTCGAGGCCCCATAGGGAGCTCCACCGAAGGTCCCAGTGCTACCGTCCGCATGCGTCCCGCACACCCAGTACAGCGTATCGTGGCCCTCCTCGCCCTCCTCCTTGCGTTTCACCCACCCAGTACAGCGCTTCGTGGACCCATAGGGAGCTCCACCCAAGGTCCCAGTGCTACCGTCAGCATGCGTCCCGCACACCCAGTACAGCGGTCCGTGGCCCCATAGGGAGCTCCACCGAAGGTCCCAGTGCTACCGTCCGCATGCGTCCCGCACACCCAGTACAGCGTATCGTGGCCCTCCTCGCCCTCTTCCCTGCGTTTCACCCACCCATTACAGCGCTTCGTGGCCCCATATGGAGCCCCACCGGAGGTCCCAGTGCTACCGTCCGCATGCGTCCCGCACACCCAGCACAGCGCTTCGAGGCCCCATAGGGAGCTCCACCGAAGGTCCCAGTGCTACCGTCCGCATGCGTCCCGCACACCCAGTACAGCGTTTCGTGGCCCTGCTCCCCCTCTGCCTTGCGTTTCACCCACCCAGTACAACGCTTCGTGGCCCCATAGGGAGCCCCACCCGAGGTCCCAGTGCTCCGTCCGCATGCGTTCCGCACACCCAGTACAGCGTTCCGTGGCCCCATAGGGAGCTCCACTCAAGGTCCCAGTGCTACCGTCCGCATGCGCCCCGCACACCCAGTACAGCGTTTCGTGGCCCTCCTTCCCCTCCTCCTTGCGTTTCACCCACCCAGTACAGTGTTTCGTGGCCCCATAGGGAGCCCCACCGGAGGTCCCAGTGCTACCGTCCGCATGCGTCCCGCACACCCAGAACAGCATGTCGTGGCCCCAAAGGGAGCTCCACCCAAGGTCCCAGCGCTACCGTCCGCATGCGTCCCGCACACCCAGTACAGCGCTTCGTGGCCCCATATTGAGCCCCACCGAAGGTCCCAGTGCTACCGTCCGCATGCGTCCCGCACGCCTCGTACAGCGTGTCGTGGCCCCAAGGGGAGCCCCACCAGGGTCCCAGCGCTACCGCCCGCATGCGTCCCGCACACCCAATACAGCGTTTCGTGGCCCCGTAGGGGGCCCCACCGAAGGCCCCAGTGCTACCGTCCGCATGCGCCCTGGAAGCCCAATTTGGCATTTTCACCCACCCATTACAGCGTTTCGGGGCCCCATAGGGGGCTCCACCCAGGGCCCCAGTGCCACCGTCCGCATGCGTCCGGGAAATGTAATTGGGCATTTTCACCCGCGCAGTGCAGCGGTTCGTGGCCCCATAAGGGGGCTCCACCGAAGCCCCCCGTGGGACCGTCCGCATGCGCCCCGGAAACCCAATTTGGCATTTTCGCTCACTCAGTAGAGCGTTTCGTGGCCCCATAGGGAGCTCCACCGAAGCTCCCAGTGGGACTGTCCGCATGCGTCCCGGAAACCCAAGTCGGCACACCACCCACACAGTACAGCGTTCCCCCCCGCCCAGTGCAGCGGTTCGTGGCCCCATAGAACGCTTCACCGAAGCAGATGTTCACAATTACGGTATCCACAACTGCATATGGTTGGAACTTTCGTCAGGAGAATTTTTCAGTTTTCGTTCATAATTCGCCTGTCGGAGGGGACATGCCCGACCGAACACTGCTCCAAGCCCTGACACGGCACCCCCCCTTGCGCCCCCCCCTGGCACCCGAGCATCTTCTTTGGGTGGAGGGCAAAGGGTGGAATTTGAAGTGCCGTTTCGATGGGTTTTCGAGGCTTGGATATGCCGAAAGAGAACCCCTAGACGGATTGGTTTTCGAAGTGTAAGAAGCCCACATCCACCCTGAGCCCTCCACCCTCAGAAAATGCTCAGGTTCTCCCGATCCCGATCCCCATCCTCATCTCCTTCGAGACTTATGATGTTCCATCCTATTGTATAGACTTAACCACCAGCAAAAAAATCGAGCACCGGAAAGTACCAAAACTTGAGGGTTTTCACGCGTCGGGCCCTGGGAGACACTCGTCCGACACTGTTTCGACACTGTTTCTACACACTTTCGACACTTGCCCGGGTGCTTGAAATTATTTCTTGGATGTGGTCCGTAAGTACGATGGGAGCAACATGATTCGGAACCTCCACCGAATTACCACCCCAGTTGGGGATACACCCCTCGACGCCCGAAGGGAGCGGCCCATATCCCCACGTACAGGGGGCTGAATCGACCAGTGTGGCCCAGGCTGCGCGAGTGGGGATGGGGGTCGGATAAGCGATGCTTACGGGGCCTTCGAAAGAGGGCCCGTCAGGAAGGAGAGAGACCTGATCTCCGACGATGCGTTTTCCCACCATGCCGTGGTTCTGGGTCCTCGTTTTCACTCGCGGCGCTCCGCGTCCTGTGCCACGGAAGGCCAGGTTCGGGCCCTGGGAGCGTCAACTGATCGGCTCGGGACGAAAAGACGGCCGTGTGGAAGTGGCCCGGGGGCTACGCATGGAAACTACTCAAGCCCCTGATGTCGGGATTCTCTCCCCCGGCAGCACCAGCGGAAGCAAGAAAATCTGGCGGCTCCGCCGGCAGAAATGGCCGGGGGAAATGCAGACGCCCCACCCCTTCTCTCCGACCTCCAGCGCGCCGAAAAGACCAAGATCAGGAGGGGAGAAACACACAGACACAATCAATCGTCGACTCCCAGAAGAATATGGGAAACTGTGGGAAGTGGTGGGGAAGACAAAACCCCCGAAAACTTGGGAAACTACGGGGAATCCTGGTACGGTAGGTTCGCGTCGTGTCGACCGGCGGCGACCCCGCCGCCGACGTTCAAGGTTGAACGCCGCCGGCGGCCCAGAATCGGTCGATGTTGAACGATCGGACGTTGCGGAGACGGCCGATCGTTCAAGGTTGAACGATCCAGCGCGGTGTCGGGAACCAACGCTGGGGTCGACACGACACGAACCTGCCGTAGTGGTGTCTGCTTACTTGTGTGTCCCAGGGCCCCTTTCACGACTCCGGGCCTACGGGGCTCGCGTCCGGCGGGGCCGTGGCGACGTCTGCCCGAGGGGCGAAGAAGGTCGGCGCTTCAGGGATGGCGCCCCGAGGGGAATGAGCTCCCCAGGACGGCGGGCCTCGAACAGTGAAGGGAGGGAGGGAGGGAGGGAGGGAGGGAGGGAGGGAGGGAGGGAGGGAGGGAGGGAGTGAGGGATTTTGGGAGGGCGGGAGGGAGGGAGGGAGGGAGAGGGAGGGAGGGAGGGAGGGAGGGAGGGATTTTGGGAGGGAGGGAGGGAGGGAGGGAGGGATTTTGGGAGGGAGGGAGGGAGGGAGGGAGGGAGGGAAGGAGGGGCCCCGCCTTCCGGGGCCCGATGCTCGAGGCGCCAAGGCAGGGGCCGTCCCGCGCGCGAGGGTGCCGAGCGAATTTGGGGCTCGCGCTCGGAACAATC